AAAATAAATGAAATTAATAGTTATTTCAACTCTGCTGATGAATATTTCTGACAAAATTCCAGATCAAGGTTTTATACAATGTTATCTCTGTACCCATAAAATTTATGATTTGCATTGGTTGAAATTATTTCGTAAAATTCATTTAAAATTAAAAATAAGACATTAGACCTATAGCCCCCTGGCCGTGCCATTTTACCCCACCTATGCGGTAAAAAGGACCAGGAGGCAAATTATTGAAAATCAGAAAAAAAACAAATTTCTACAATAATGAAATCAGTAAGAGTTTTACTGAATATAGACAGATAGTTGTTCATTTGATATGTGTTATTTGTTGTGATATAATTGGTTTGGTTTTTACAATATAATTGCTTAAAGCTAAATTGGACCTTAGTACCCCGCCATACCCTATCAGCTATACAAAGCGAGTAGAATGTCAAAAACTGCTTTTAGTTATACAATAATCTCATTTTTATTTGACATTTTATATAGTTAATAAAATATGCACGATAAGAAACACTTACGAATTTTTTTGTGGGCCTACTTCAAAGTGTTCTCGGACAACCGACCTTTGTTAATGCAAAATTTAAAAAAAATATTGCTAATTAAATAATTTTTATGTAATATTAATAGTATTACCAAATGAAAAATGTTTGCAAACATGTCCACATTCTCATGGTCAGACGTCAAACGACAAGACAAAAATAGGTTATTCGGCTAGGTGGTTATAGGCGGCGCAGGGCCAGGCAAAACGTGATACAGGTGGGTTATTTCGCCGTTATTATATATTTATAATATTTATTTATATTGAAGTATGTGAATTTGATGTTGATATATATTTTGATGAGTTATTTTGATTCGGGCAGTAACACCAAGTAAAAAAAACTAAAGCAGTTGTAAAACGCTTTATTTAACCATAGGTTTCGGTCTTCGTCGAGACCGTTATTCAGTGGAACAACTAAAAGATTTTATAAATAATGTAGGAGAAAAATAATATGAACTAATGATTTTTGACAATTTTTTGTTACATTCTAGTGCAGTGATTCCCAACGTGGGGCGCACGCCCCCGGGGGGCAATATGGAAATATTGGTGATTTGAATGTAATGTAGTATAGTATCAGTAAAACATTTAACAAAAAATACTTCTTAGATCTAATTAAGGTGTCCCGGTTTGATAATTCGTCTCTATGCAGCTAAAGCAGTGCGATTTTCTTCGAAAAAAAGTTTAAAATTTCCAAAATATTTCAAAATAAAATAAACCATTTTTTCAACAGTTTTTTTTCCAAAAAGTCTTTTTTTTCAAAAATTTAAAATTTCTCAAAAATCTATTTTTTTCAAATATTAAAAAAAAATCTTTTTCTAAAAAAATTAGTTTTTGGTACGCAAAGTTCCAGCCATTTGCCTTAAGGCACGATGCCATACACCACTATTTAAAACCCTTGAATTAAAAAAAAAAATGATGTCAAATTGTGCCTATAATTCAGTTTTTGCTAATAAAAACTATAAGTTTTACAACGTGGGATAATGATGCTTCTTTGAAGATAACAAAAGGTCATCTATCAAAATGGTAAATACATTACAGAACAATGCTATATTAATTCCACCCAAAAATCTTTAATTTTCTAACAACAATGCGCACTTTGTTGCCAACCCGATAACTACAAATTTCCGTTCTGATTTTAAAATAATAAAAAATGATTTAAATACTGAATTAATTGTGTTTACAATTTTTGTTTGTGAAAGTGTAAAAAGACTGGTAAACATATGTTTTTGGTAAAATAACAAAATAATAAAATACACGCTTCATTCAGATATGGTGGTGTTTTGAAAAATGGTCAAGGATTATTTTATAGTCATTGCAAAGCGAATTGTTGTCCGTTCTCTTATTTATGGCAGTCTCATTGTGTAATAATATTAGGCATCCTTCGCTAAATCATCTTTTAAGTAAGTTATTTTCGAAATGTAGGATCGTGAGATTGAAAAAATCTATGTTATGTTTGAGCTCATTAATGTGATCTGTTAGTATTGTTTTATATTGACTATTTACTTTAAATCATTTTCCTCCTACATTATTTATAAAATCTTTTAGTTGTTCCGCTGAATGACGGTCTCGACGAAGACCGAAACGTATGGTTAAATAAAGCTTTTTACAAGTGCTTTAGTTTTTTTTTACTTGGTGTTACTGCCCGAATCAAAATAACTCAAATTTATAAATATATATATATATATATATATATATATATATATATAAGTGTGAATGTATTATAAATCCATTTATTTAAAACAAGCAAGAAAATTCAACTTGATTCCTTGGAAAATATATATGGAAATTACATCTATTAAAGAAACTGACAAGAGTACTTCAAACATGAGTGTAAATGCTACGTGAATATTATATCAACATTGAAGATCATCATTTCCAATTCTATCAATAAACAAGTTAAACATGAATCATATTTTATCATAAAATCTGTTATAATGAATATTAAATCTCAGTATGGTTATTTAAAATAGTATTATGTCATCATTTATATTGAACGGTATGTAAGCAAATTTTGTAAATAAAAATAATATTCAAACAAATTTCTTGGAATATTTAGATGTAAGGTTAAACCATAGATAAAAGGAGAGTATAAAATGGGTTAAACGTACACTATTCCGGGATAGTACATTATCCCGAGATTTTTCCATTTTGATCGCAAGATAAGAAAACGGTCGGAAAATAATAATCGCCATTCTGTACTTGCTTGTTAGCTAGTTAGGTTCATGTGACGGTTCGTTTGCTTAAGGTTTTTATTCGATGCCGGTAAGCTTAATCGATTCAACTTTGTGAAATTATTGATCAGTATTGATAAATGATTAGTTTCATAATTAAATCTAGCATATATTTGTCAAGAAATTGTCAATTTCATGACTTCCGTAATTATGTTCACATAACTGAGCCAGTGAACGTAATTCCGCGAGTATTCCGCAATTTCGAGAAGTAGACCTAAAATATTTTTGTCTTTCATTTCCAACTGTGCTCACATTCGGCGGTGTTTCTGGTGTTAATAAGTTTGGTAATGACTACATAATACTGTAACGTAATTACGGTATATAATTTTTAACACTAATAATTGAGTTTGAAGTGACTACTCTTTCGTAAGAAAGTACACGACTTTTTTCATTAATTTGCATTATTCCAATATACCTAGAATGAATATCGTAGTAACGAGCGAATCATTTGTTTCTACCTTTTCATCTATGATCAAATATTTCTGTTATATAATTTTTTTTATAAATATAGCGCGCGGTACTTGTAGGGCGCGGATTCACCAGAGCGCTGGTGTGTATGTATGTTTGCAGAGTTCTAGGGACATGCCTGTAAACACTGTAGTTTTAATCCGATTAAGGCAGTAATTTTTTGAATATATATAACGATTATAAAGGGACTAGCAAACCCGACGAACTCCGTTTCGCCACCAGATGAAGAATTTTTTTGTTTGTTTTATATTTGAATATGAAAAAAATGATTTTATTGCACAACAGTAATGAATTTATTTCGATTACAAAAATGAAGTATTTTTTAGTTGAACTTCTCTAAGTAAATGAAAGTGAATCCGCAAATTAACCGTTTCATTGAAGTGCTCTTTGGTAAATCACATTTTTTGTTTTTTGGTCTAACGTTAACACAAACAAAGCGGATTGTTTTCCAACTCGTGAACAGGCAACGTATAACTGCCCATGCGAAAAACAATGATTTTCTAAATAATCTATTTGAAATTTATTCCGCAAACACTAAGCGATTGATCTTGCGACTTGTTAGTTGTCATTGCGAACGCAAGGCGAACTGGAAATTGCAATCGTTTAAAGTCAAACGGAAGACCAGTCGGAATCATTGGTATGTCACCAAATCGCCAGCAATTTTTTATTGAATGGTGAAATTCAGTGCGTGTACATCATTATTCAAGAATTGCTCGTTGACTTAACCAAGCATAATTCTGATAATTCTCACTAATGTCATTACTTGAATTTTTAATTACGGTGCGTGAAGTTCCAGCAATTTGCATTAGGGCACGATGCCATGCACCACTAATTTTCTTAGCTTATAAACCTTGCGGAACCCGAAACCTTTCCAACGAATGCAAAGTTGTCCAAATCGGTTCATGCGTTCTGGAGTTATTTCGTCAGGAAGGAAAACCCGACTTATTTTTATATATATGGAAGATAATCTATTTGAAATTATTTAAAATAATTATGATTATTTTTATTACTCGAATTTTTAATTACGGTACGTAAAGTTCCAGCAATTTGCATTAGGGCACGATGCCATGCACCACTAATTTTCTTAGCTATAAACCTTGCGGAGCCCGAGACCTTTCCAACGAATGCAAAATTGTCGAAATCGGTTCATGCGTTCTGGAGTTATTTCGTCAGGAAGGAAAACCCGACTTATTTTTATATATATAGAAGATTAACTGTATATTAATAAAGTGAAGATATATCACAAGTTATTAAATTAATGATAAGTGCGATTTCTTGAAAATACGTTGCCGATGCTACTCGTGAATGCAGTAGCTTTCTAATAGTATAATACAGTTGATTATTAACTATTAAAATTATAAATATTAATGCGTTTTTTAAACGTTAAATTTTAAACTGAAATATGGTTTTCAAAAAAACGGTGGTTTCAATTAAAAATTTTTTTACCTTACGCTTCAAATTAATATCAAATTAAGATAATTGAAAACAAGAATAAATGTCAATATAGTAACAATGTTTGTTACATTAAAATTTATTTAAATAATTATATATTATATCAAAAATGTATTATACTTTTGTAATGTATATGATGGTAAAGTGACAAACTAAATATAATAGAACCTTAACAAAAAATATTTACAACTATTAATATTTTAGCATTGTCAATAGAAAATAAAAAATAATATAAATAGATATTTCTTTCATTTTGTACAAATAATACTTCTATAGATATTATGAAGTTCTCTTTCTTGTTCAACATTTCAAAAGTATGATTCTGGTAGCACTAAAATAGAATATAATACTTTTTTTCCACAATAAAGAATATAATTTAAAATACTATAGCCTAATGAACTAATTGTAAGCTAAAGATCATACTGACAATCATGGTTGTTCTAAATCTTAGATTTGTAGATGGCGTGAGAAAACAGGTTTTTTATATAAGAAATGAATAATTACTTGCATAAATTTTTAGCTCACCCCAAACTCCATGTGGATTTTTGTTTGTAGGTACAGCATTTTCAAGCTGCCTTGGCGAACCAATCATTCTTCTTGTACTGCCAGGTTTATGAGTACCTTAAAAATAATATTTCTTATAAAACTTACTGGAAATATTATTGCATATTTAGCAAACTGTAGAATATAATTTGATTCGGCTTATACTGTAATCTTAAACTTATAATCAAAATTAATTAAGAATTAACATTTCTTATAATTTGTTTTTCATATAATAAAATCTTGTGAAAAAACCTGTTATATCAACAATTTTACTTTTAGTTTTAGAATAAGTAAATTATTTCTTATATAATTGATGTGTACCTTCAAGTAAAAATTTAATCTCTTCTGCATTTGTAGTATTAGTAAGACTCTGTAAATTAACTTCTTTCATCTCATTTACAAGACTTTCAACATGCATTTTCTTTTCTATAATAGCACTTTCCAAGTCCAACACTTCCATTCTCAAAGCATCTGCAGTTTGTATTACATCATCAGTGCTTGCCTTAGCATGTTCTATATCAAATTGTAAATGCTCCATTTCCGTCATTAGACGCATCTCAAATTGATGTCTAAAAATATACATTAATATGTTTATTGAACTTCTAAAACCATGTACACATATTTTTTGCATGAGATAAAGATTCAAAAATAATTTGACATAAAAAAATAATTTTAGAAAAAAATTTAAAAACTGTGGAACTGAACGTATTTTTGCGGTAAGTAAAGTTTTGCGTAAAGTAACAAAAAAAGAGATAAATGAAATTTCTCCTTAGTAACAAGCTTACTTGTACTTCATACTGCACTGCATTTCACAATCTCTTCTTGCATGTATGTATGTATAGGATAGGGCAAACAACACACACACAAAGTGAAATTTTGACTTCAAGCAATTATAATGTGAAAACCAAACCAATTATATCACAACAAATAACACATATCAAACGACAACTATCTGTCTATATTTAGTAAAACTCGCGGCTAATTCATCGTTGTAGAAATGTGTTTTTTTTTTAAAATATTCTTCTCCCCAACTTAAAATTGACAATACATATAAACAACTAAATAACATACAGTTAAAAATTATATTAAGGTCTCGTAAAAAGACAACAGTTCTCACAAGAAAACTTTTGTTATGGAATTTCAACACATTGCCGTTTATTTCCTGATAGCAACATCGAAAGAATCAAAGTGAAAGCTAATTATACATCTTTTCCTCTCTACTTTAAAATATTGTTGTTAAAAATTCATTACTACTCTGTTTGTTCATCGAGCAAGATATCTGTGGCGCACCTTTAATGCCCGCTCCACTCTATATATGTAAATATAAGTGTATGCATATTATAAACATGAAATTAATATTTCTCTTAAAACAAACCTGCTATCATACCGTCTTAAGATATGCCTTTTGCTCAATTTGGAGTTCATCAAGAAGTATCTGATTTTATTTTTGCATTGAAGTAATTCCGTTTCACAATTTGCTAATTTTGATCGTAAAAGAGTGATTTCTGACCTCACTGTTTTCTCCTGCTGTTTAATAATTTCATTTTCTTCTTCAACACAAGACAAAACATAAAGCTAAATAAAAAAAAAACACATATTGTATATCAAAATATAAATGATTCTTAAATTTAACAAAACGTTCTCAAGTATTAAGATTGTTTAATAATGTGCTTATAACCTGTTCACATGCCCTGTCTAATAATTGTATCCGCCTGCTGAATTTCTCTTGTTAACAGGTCCATTTGTTCTTGTTGATCGCGAGTTTTGACTT